CAAAATGGAGAGACCGACAGGGAGAGGCTCGGAACTTAATGCCAGGCAGTGCGTGTAGAAATCCTGAACTGGAATAAGTGGATTACTGGAGGCTCAGTGTGGACAACCCTGAAAATTAACAATTCTAGGGGGGCTCAGTCACCAGGGTGGGTGGGGGGACACTTTTGTGAGTTTTACCTCCTGTGTCACCACCAGGTTCTCTACTAGAGAGATGTCCTCTTGGGTTTTTTTGCAAGGGGAGGGGAAAAAAACATTTTTTATATACTCAAGGCTTCAGTTACTATGGTCAGCTGTGGTCAGAACAGCTGGCAAATGCCCTGGCTTTACTTCTTCTATTCACCTGATTCAGTGCAAGACTATTGACTAGGATTCTTTCATGGCCTTTGACCTCAAGATTCATTTTCTTTATATTTCATTGCTAAAGACAGAATAGTTAAAGTATCATTTTGAAATATGAAATATATCTTTTTCCATTATTTTTCTACTATAGTACCAATTATTTGACATGTCATCCAAGTCCTTTTATTTTTGTTCCAAATTTGCCTTTCATTAATTCTGTTATGTGTGGTTTCATCAATTTGGAACAAAATTGCATGGGGAGGAACAGCATCACTCGTGTGGTTTTCTTACCAAAAACACGTAACCTCAATCTAATCATGAATAAGCATCAGACAACTTATTCAGAATGTCTAGTCAGTTCTCTTCAAAAATGACAAAGTTGTGACAGCAATGATCAAGAACCTGTCACATATTGGAGGAGACCAGGGAGATGTGACAACTAGATGCCATTTGGATTCTGGATTGAATCCTGAACTAGAAAAAGAACCTAAAGTGACAACTGGCAAAATTCTATTTGAACTTCTAATAGGTCCATAAATTAATTAATAGCTCATTATACTATGGATATATAAGATCTTAATATTAGGGGAAGCTGGGTGAAGGGTTTATGGGGCAGTCGTCACTATTTTTGAGACTTTTCTGCCAGTTTAAAATTATTTTCAAAAATAGGTTAAGAAAATAAGTCTTGTATAATTTCACTAATATTTTTTAAGATAGAGCCTTAATAATTTATCCCATATTACAGACATAACCTGGGAGGCAGTAAGTCTAGATCTTAGATTATTTAATCAGAGTGGTTTAGAACCTAGAAAGACCCTTCAAGAGTATTCAATAGTCATATCATTTTTAGGTGAGGAGAAGTGGAATTACTAGAGTCACAATGGCTTTGGAGAACTGGTTCTAGAACTAGTCTTTCATCTCTCCATTTTAAATTCTACTTTAAGACACTACTGGATTCAAGTCCAACAACTCTTCCAATCGACTTAATTCAATTTAGCCTAAATTGAAAAGATATTTTTATAAGAAAGTTAATATTCTAATTGCTAATGTGTTTGTAATGAAATTATGGAAATCTTGCTCAATAAGAACATGTTTTGCATTTCATAAAAACTTGAGTTGCAATTCGAGAAGTAAAAATAAATTTTGACTATAAGATTTGAACTTCATTGAACTAAACTTCAAGTCAATTTCAAGGAATGCAAGTCTTGATTAAAATGCATATTCCCTTGATATTATTCCCAAAGCTACCCTTTGATTTATTCTCCTTGCTCAGTTGTTTGCTTGTGCACACGCGCGCGCGCACACACACACACATACACATCATTCAAACAAATGATGAGTCATTTTATTTCATTTGATATAACTGTCTGAGATGGCTTCATGATATAATCATCATATAACAGGGCCCTGAACAAGACAGTGATAATCTTGGCATTCAGCCCATGTTTTCTTCTAGTTTTTATTGCCTGTAAGATTTCTGCTCCTTAATAAAACATACACTTCCCCTCCCCCACCCTCCCAATCCTGGGCAGTGCATTTAGCAGATGGCCTTGTTATACAATCATGCTAAAGGGATTAGTCTCCATCATTGAATTTTAGGGATTCCTGACTATCACAGCTGTTTCTTCTCTGAAATGCTTTCACTCAAATAATGTATACAATGCACTCCGGTCAATCCTAGTTTTCCAATGAGTACCAAGATAGAAACCTGAACACATCTATATTTTGAATAAAAGAAAGAATTTTGGTGCCAGAAACAAAAATATTTATGATTCCTATTTATGTATGTGTGCCAATGACAATATTTATTCTTAAGAAGCCTAAAAAAATACTGAGTAGTTAAACTAGATGTTAGGAAAATTACTCCAAACATTATGTCTATAAAAGAATATATATTTCTATAACATCTCCCCATTATATTCTGGTACACTAGCTCAAAAATCCAGTCATATTAAAACATCACCTCTTCTGTACTCACCTCCCACCTCCTCTAACTTCCATCAGTCAGTCATTACCAAATTTTGTCTATTTTTCATTTACATTAGCTTGTCAATTCCTTTCTTGTGATTGCCATTGTCGTCACCCTCATTGGGCCTAATTTACATGAAATAAATACCTTTAAATGGCAAAGGGGTTAATCAGGAAGAGAATTTTCCATTCCTGGTGCCCAGTAAATCACAGTTGTGAGAAATGGGAGAAGTCCCTTTTGCCTCATTTCCTTAGGAGTGGAAAGCAGGATGGAGGCAGAGGTGGAATTACATCATAGCAAGGCCTCTGACATAAGGGAAAATTTCTAGTGAGGGACCAGCAAGAGGATTTTACGAGTAGTTCTCAAAACCAGCATAGTTTCAAGAACCATGGCCTTACCCTCGTATTTTTATTTTTCTGGGGTAGGGAAAGCGAAGTCATCCTGTGAAGTAAGCTTGGGGACCATGGAGATTGAACGAGAAAAAGAAAAGAATAAAAACTAGTTTGTATAAGAAAAAATTACCTCTGAAATATAGTCTTATTTGAAAACTTGATGGAAGAGTTGCCATTTATTAACCTATGCTCTAGATAATATTTCAATTTAAATATATCATTTTATATAAACAACTTCATTTCACCTTCATGCCAATGTATTATCATCTAATTTTATACAGAAAGAATTGAAGTTTAGATAGGTTCAGAAATGTTCTCTTTTATGTGCAAGATTGTTCTTTAGTCTCTCTTTCTTCTACCTTACCCCTCAGCCCTGACCCCCCTACCATGTCCCTTTTTTTGCCCATCCTCAATAGAAAAGTTGTTCCATGTTTCTCTCCTTCCTGGTCCTTATTTAGGAGACTTCAAAGGCTTTATGATTCATACATCCTTTATTTCTTTTACCTTGTAGAAGGCACATTCTGTCTTTCAAGTTCCCTGGTATGCAAAGACTCTGATAAGCATAATGAATAGAATTAATAGCAATAGCTTTTTAAAATAATTGTTTATCTGAAATCACAACCCATGAAAACTGAACGTTAATAGGTGCTGGAGTAATAAGATGTGTAGGTGGAAATTAGCAATGGTTAAAGGACTAATGTAGGTGGATCAATCTAAGGGTAATCTCAGAAACCTAAATGAATTTAATGAATCACCCTGACATATTTTGGGAAAGAATCTAAGAGACCTAGATTTTTGATTATTTAAAATTGGAATATTAACCATTGTTTATTTGACCAACATTATATAATCTAAGAAAATAAATTTAACCAGATGTTCTTGAAATTTCCACAGATAGGAAGCATTTGATACAATATACAGGTGTCCCCCAGTTTTCAAAAGTTAGCATTTGGCAGAAGACCCAAATCGGTACCTGTTTTTGCTAACCAAAAGAAATCTGAAAAGGGCTTTTACTTTAACAATAAAAGGCAAACATAAACCCAAGAAAATGCATTCAACATTTTCTTTGTAGCAGTTATTCTAGAAGCAGAGGTATCCTAAGCAGCAAGTTTCCACTTCCACTCATTTTTTCTCCTGTGAGCATAAACTGCTCTAAAAATAATGCCTATTAATTTAAAAATATATATAAAACAAAAATACCCAGAAATCTGTGAGTTCTTCTTAAAATAAAAGACTTAACTCTTAAAATAAAAATAGACTGGCCCTGCTATTCTTCTCCGTGGGAGCTGCTTTATATAGGTTGTGGATTTATTCAATCATTTCTACTTTTACTGTACTATATAGTACTATTTTAGATTTTATGTGCTATTTGGTAGGTTGATGTGACTTGGTAGGTTATTTTAGGGATCTAGGAATGCTCAAAACTCCTTTCCATATAAATTAATCCTAATTGCTTTTTCTCTTTTTACCATCTCAACTCGCCAAAGGCTTCATTAGTAGCACTACTTTTGGATAATGGGGGAAACCAGTAATACTAGATATACTTTGTGCCCACTACAGAGTCTGTGTTACACTCATGAAAGATTTCCAGCAAATTTTTTGCCTAATCCCAGAAGAGGAAAAAAAGCCAAAGGATTGAAGTTAGTGATATGTATTTAGTCAATGAGTCTATTGGAATGCAGCACCAAACCAGACAAATACCTACCTATGGAAAATACCCAATTAGGGGAGATATGGTGGAAAGAGACATGTTCTTACTAAACAGTGAAAGCTGTCAGTTAACTATTAGTCATTTCTAAATATTTATTGGAAGCATCCTAAAGTAACCAATATAAAACTAAAAAACTGAAACATAAAACCAAGTCTAATGTTCTCCGTTAAATTCCTTGATTACTGAAACAAATCCATATTTTTGTACATCATGCACAAAACATGAATTAAAAACAGGATTAAAATAAATTGCTCTAAAAAGGTATCTGGTGCAAGCTATCTTTGTCAATCCAAATTACTGAGGGGTTTCAAATGAAAACATTTGCAAATTTGACAAATTTCATGTACAATGCAGTTTTTGAAGTGATTTTGCCTTTCTAATATGGCTCTTGTCAGGAAAGGGACTATTTGTTCTGTCTGCCTTCAATTTCTTGTGAAAGTCGCTCTGGAATCACACACAAAAAAACCTGTGTCATGGGTAAGCTTGGCCTTTGCCTTTACGAGAGAACAACTTACGCATGATGCATTTTCCAGAGAATGGACTCTTTCTAGGAAGTGGATCTCCCCCTGGAAAACAAAGAAAACCTTACCTGGGTATTCATTCTTGTCTATGTCTGAATCTCCTCTTAAAGTAAAGCCAAATCCAGAAGGGACAGTCTGTGAGGCCCACACTCCTTGCAGAGTTTGGGAAGGCTTGGTGTTTAAGCCGTCCTTGTTCCCATTATAAATGAGCACTTTGCCTCTTTGATCCTTGCCTGCAAAAGGCACCCCAATGGCAATGTCTGCAAACAGAGACATGTAAACACATGTTTAAGAGGAAGAATGTTTTAAAAATCAAACCATGTACAATCAAAGAAAAGTAGCATGAAGTCCAAAGGGTGTATTTTGTTTCCCATGAAAATTTTGCAGTGCTACAGTAAATGATTTGTTGTCTTTTATCTCATGAGTAACTACTATGTGTTGAATGTAGTGGGAACAGGAGTGAACTAGATGTTGCCTTTAGAGAATTTATATTTTAACGCAGGTAATAGATAGTTTGGACCGTGAGATGATGGAGAAAAGTTGGAAAGTGACATATACTATTTAGTAAATCATAAAAATCGATATGACAGAGAGTCACTGGATTGTTATTTTAGATTACTGGGTCAGACTTGGTGTCTCTAAGGCTGAAATTTTAACTGGAATCTAGAGACAAGAAGGAAAGGAACATGTGAAATCAGAGGGAAGAGGACTTCAGGCAGAAGAAATGACTGTGCAAAGGCCTAGAGGTGAAAGCAGCTTGACCCATTGGGAGAGCAGACAAGGATGGTCTATAGGGAACTTAGTGAGTAATGGGGAGCAGGGTCAGATCACCACACTGGGTGGACTAGAGAGACACCTTTAACGGCACATGAAAGTTTCTTAATAGAAGAAAAAACAAGCTCTTTCACAAAGATTATGTCATTTAATGGTAACAACATCCTAGAAGATTGGCAAAATCCATTTTATAGTTGAGGCCGCTGGGAAACCTAGAGAGAAGCCTATTGCCTGACCCCCACTTTAATACGGCATTGAATGAAAATGACCCCCCCATAGAATGTGTATATTAGGACTGTTCTAAACAATAAACATAAACACAAGTGTCCCCCACTTTTTCTAAGTTCATGTTATGCCATTTCATTCTTATGAAAGATCTGCATTAGTACTTGTTTTCACTAACAGCAACACAGAGAAAATTTCCATTTTTATGACAAGGGTGAAAAGCAAAGAGCTTTCCTTCAGCATTGGTTTTGAGCAGAGACTATAGAAGCAACAGCTGCTTGAGCAGTGAACGTGCATTAGTTGAAACATACAAGCTTTCAATCGCCTTGAGAATTTTGATAGTTTAATAAAAACCAATGATACCAGCTGCGTTACACACATTTTTTCCAGTACTTTTAAATGTTCATTGTTTCCTTTGTGCAACAGTAACATGAACACATAAATGCTTTCCAAACATTGGTATAAATTACCATTGTATCCATCTTGGTTCAGGTCCCCTAGGTGTGCCACAGCACTGCCAAATCTCCCGAACACCTCGCTACCTGTGAGGACCTGCGGGTCTCTGAAGATGAGAGCGCTCACTTGCAGGTACAGGTAAACTTGCCCTACTTCTCTAGGGTTACTCTCAAATTCACGTTCCATAAAGAGGGGGGCTCCGATCAGTATGTCATCCATTCTGTGAGGAACAAAGAGAGAGATCAGTGCTCTGGCAGACATGAGATTCTCTTAGTACGTTTTTAATCCAGCAGATTGTACAGTTCCATTCGTATTTTCACTTTTGCAAGGGGCATTTTACAATCATCATATTTCTTTTATGGCTTTGTTATGTCTATGGAATAGAATGCTGTAAGAAAATGGGAGTTGTTAAATTATCACATTGCATTTTTTTAGCTATGTCAAAAATAACTTCTTTAAGAAAACCACAGCTATTTTACTCTTTTCAGCTTGCGTGCATTTCCAGAAACTATAGTCACACAAGTAAAGCAAAAAGACCGAAGCAGATTTGTCTAAAAATGGATTCGTTTGTCCACAACTTATGCAACTATATGTTTTAATTATAATGTTTTCTTGTAGTCAGAAGATTTAAAATAAATTTCATTCCCCACTCTTTCCTCTTGTTATATCAATTTAAATTAAACAGAAGCCAGATGTTTTAGTACTGGCTAGACAATCAGAAAACAAAAATTTCATCCCAGATGAGAAGTGATCATAATTATTTTAATGTATATATTATAGAAGGAAAGTAAATTTCAAGACATGGACACCTAAGCTAATTATTTAGAGCTAGACGCCAACCTCCAAGAGACCAAAGACAGAAGTGGTTAGAGGTGTTTCCTTTAGATAGACAGGTAGGCATGAAGAGTAACAGAACAGAACCTTCTAATTCATGTGACAGTTTTTAAAATGTGCATTAGTAAAGACTGTTATTTGGTCTTTACTAATAACCTCTATGAAAATCTGTCTGAAGACACCGTTGCCCTAGGAGATGTAATAATTTGAAGAATGACCTCAGGCAAAAATACAAATCTGTATCTGACTATTGTGCCTGTGCTGAAGTTTGCCAAATAAGCTAATTGCTAAAATAGTATCATTATTCTAAAAGGCAGGGATGAGGTGGAAACAGTTTCTGAGAGCAAAAAGCCTTTAAGATGTGAGCAAAATGTAAGACACTCCAACATCACTTCAACCTACCCCTCTCCAATTTCTCACCAACCCTGTGATATTCATCTACTATACTTCTCAGTATGATTCAGGAGATATCCTGTGTTCCAACTACTTTCACTTTACTGTGGCAAGTGATTTAAAGGACTATTAGGTCAACTCTTTTGAATTAATTTACAAGTGAGGGTAAATCACCACTCATATAAACATGAAGAGTGGGGAAAAGCTGCATGATGCAAACAAACTGAAAATTGGGAGAAAGACGAACCTTGAGAACAGCTATTATTTTACTTTCAGGTTCTAAAACTTAAGGTGGATAGCTATACTCAGGTAAAACAATTTCTTAACAATGTTCCAAATACACTTACTAAAAAAAAAAAAAAAAAGAAATTGACATAGCTTGTTATCGTGTGTGTGTGTGTGTGTGTGTGTGTGTGTGTGTGTGTGTGTGTTGTTTAGGTTGGCTTTTTCCAATCTTGTTTGCAAGCCATTAGGGAACTGAGAAAGTAATTTAATTGGTCCTGACTGTGCTTCAGGCTGACTTGGAGAGCAGGGCTCAGAGCAAATTCTAGCCCTTCCCTTTCTTCCCAGGAACCTAGTTGCCTTTCTGTTATTATAGTCAATGTGAAGAGGCATTAAACATGGAATTGCATGAGCTGTTGCTTTGTAGTTCAAAAATGTCTAAAGCCACTAGTTCTCTGTTGCAGAGACATTTTTTTTTTTATTCTATAAAGAGCACAGCCTTATGATTGGTCTCTGCGGACATGAACATGAAGTGGGGCTGCTACAGTTGGCTCATACATTTCTCACTGCCAACACTGACTTCTATAAATGGGGAATGATTTGACCTATCGTTGTGAAAGATAGCACATCATGGAAGTTTTGGATTCTTGGAGTATTATGACAGCATTGATTTATTTTCTTAGAAACACATTCCCCTAGAGATTTAAGCATGTCTTCTAAAATGTTCTAAATGCCAAAAAACAGAGGGAGACATTTGTTCTTAATTTATAATTGTGTTCTCATAATATTGAGAGACAGTAGCTGTCTTGGGTTCAATTGGTACAATGTGCCTTGTATAATATTTTACAGTTAATGTCAATATTATTTTATATTAGCAATCCCACTTGAGAGTCACAATATAAAATCATTGCTTGGGTTGGTGTTTCTGACTCTTGACTTGCAGCCTGTTAATGGGCTGTGAAATCAATTTAATGGGTTTTGACAATCCATTTTTTTTTGACAAAATAGAATACAATAGAAGCAGCAGAGTGAATGTGTCATGTACAGTAAGGTAAATATTGTCTCATTAAACTTTGTTTTAGTTGTTTGTGTTTGTACTGGGTTACAATGTCAATGTATGGACTGTAGGAAAAAATTAAATCATAAGCAAATCACTGCTTTATTAGGCTATTTCAAAATTTATTTGTCACATCCTTTCTTTTGAAGATACCTAATTCAAGTTTAAAGTTCAGAAATATTTGTCAGTAAAGATTGTTCTTATTGACCTTCTGATAAGTAGTTGTTTAAAAGGTTGGGTGCTGCTGTCTGAGAAAACATAATATATAAAAGAATGCAGATCAGGAGACTGTGTCCTGGAGTTGTTAGTTTATTTACTTTTAATTGTTTTATGATAGGCAAAAATTAATAAAACTAATCAATTACATTACAGAAATCAATTTTGTTTACAACCTTTTTGTATTTTGGTTTTGTAGTTATTCTGCTTAATTTAGTCATAATGATATAGCTAATATGAGCAAATATATTTGGAATAAATCTAGCATGAAATACAGTTTCCCAAAGCTGCTTCCTTTCAAATGAGTTTTCTCTAAAATGCTGTCTTAGTTATCTAACTGCTAAGAATTTCTTTAAATTTTTCTCCTTTTGGCCCTGCAGAGGCTAGAAACAATCCAATAGATTAAATTGTGATCCTGTGAATTTCTGAAATAGTATAAATAATATACGGTCCAAAAGTCATAAGAAAAAAAACAGATATGCTTTCTTAGGCTCAAGATAAAAAAAATGCTATCTTCATTTCTTGTTCACTTTGTCCAGAAATCCCTAACAGAGTTTACAGTGACAGAGTTTGTAGCTCTGGCTATCTCAACTGATGTTAAATTTACCAGCTTGTTTATATTTTCAAAACAGTTACAGGCTTGACAATATAATACACCAACTGGCATGCACGTAACTGATTGACCTAAATTTTTGGAGTCCATTCATTATACCTTGAGATTTTTTTAAATAAAAAATATTGAGGGGCCTCCCGTGTTGGTGCAGCAGTTGAGCGCTGGGCTGTGAAGCTGCCCGCAGCCTCTGCAGTGCCAGTTTGATCCCTGGCTGCTGGTGAGGGTCCCACATGACACGACACACTTCTCCTGACATGCCCATTGCTCCCCTCAGCAGTGTATTTTGTCACTGCCTGTTGTGTTCCCACTCTGGCTTTGGTGAATTCTCTCACCCTCCCGCACTTCTGACTGTACCCAATGCTTGTATAAATAAATAAATAAATCTTTTAAAAAAAATATTGGGGAAAATTCCCACCAGTCTGCTAATTTGGTCACATTACTTAATGACTGTCTTTTTTCCCCTTGATGTTGAGATTTTGGAGCATTTGTCAGGACTTTGATTTTCTAACATAGTGGATAGAGAAGATGGTAAATGCTGCCAAAGAATGTTCACGAGTTAGCCTCATGCACAATAGTACTTAACTATGCCTTGGCTGGACAGAGACAAGTCTGGGGCAAGACTGTAAAATATGGGGAGTCCTAAATCCAAAACCATGAAGAATCATGGTTCTTAATGATGTTTTTAATCCTATGCAATACCCACTCAGGTCTACGATTAAAAGAAAAGATACAGACCATTAAAAAAAAAAAGACTACTGGAAAAAAGTTGAATTTAAACAAAGAGTGAGAATTAACTCTCAATTCTAGTACTAAACTCTGGTAGGCAATTAATGTTCATTGAAAATTCCTTAGTCACTGATAACTGTTGGGAAAGCTAAAAGGGATTTATGGATTAAAAAATAATCATAAGTTATAAATATAAAATTATTTGAGTCATGACTAATAAATCAGTAAAATGCACACCAGCATGGCTGTTTTTAATATAATTAAGCAGATTTTTCTTAAATGCCATGAATCTAGAAATTGTAACTGAATTTTATTTCATCAATCCATTGTCTTTAGCATCATTAAAGACAATCCTAAAGTTATTTGGGTGAAAATAACTTTAAAATGATGATTTTATATTTTTATAAGTGAAAGTAAGACCTTGCTTATAAAAATAATGGAAATTAATTAAAGTCACACTTAACCTTAATATAAATATAGGATATACATTGCCAAAATAAATAAAACACTTAAATATATATGTGTACATATTTAAATTGTGTACATTCTTGTACCACAACCCTTATTTAAGGTAATATACATTCCATATGTATAAGAATACCTTTATCTATAGATAGATCCATGTGGTAGATCTGCATTCTACTCCCTGTTTTCTCTGAATTTAACTTTTCAGATCATACTTATCAGCAGTGGGGAGGTAGGGGAAATAGGAAGATATTTGCCAAAGAGTTCAAAATTGCAGTTATGTAGATTGTGTAAGTCCTAGAGCTCTAATATATATCATAGTGATTATATTTAATAGTGTAGCATTATACCTTGGAAATAAGCTAAGGAATATGAGATGTTCTAACACACACACACACACATACATATAGTAACTATATGATGGATGGATAGTATAGTTGCATGGATATAAATGCACATATAAACAGATGTGTTAATTAGCATGAATTTAGTAATTATTTCACTATATATGTATATCAAGATATGTTGTCCAATAAAATATATACAATTTTTATTTATAAAATTAAAATGATTATTGGATTTCTTTAGTGACAAATATACTAATTTATCCTATTTCCCAGCTTTTAAAAGTAAGAGGCATGGCAGTCATTATACTCACTTAAGTTTAAAATTCCTAATACTTATAAATTATAACCCTTGAAGACAGAAATTATATATTTTTTCCTACTAAGTGTTTTATAGAATGTAGTAAAAAATTCTCTGTGTATAGTGAAAAAAATGGTTGGGTAAGTCAGCAGATGGTTGGGAAAACTTTCCCTAATTAGTGTATGATTTACTTAAGTTTTGTGCCTCAGTTTCCCCTCAGGTGAATTTTAGAGAACTTCGCTAGATTAGAATGTGGATTGGCCCATGTTACTGGATGTAAGTACGAGGATATTCTGAAAGGAAAATTGCACTGTCTGCCATGCAGCCTCACAATATCCTGCGCTTAATGGCTCATGAGTTTCTACAGTAGTCTCAGGGGAAAATAGAGATTTGAAACTGCTCATGAACTAAAAGACCAAGTATAAAATATCCAGGAAGAATTTTGAGATAGGCATTCATGTTTTCTGCAAAATCCCATGCAGCCTTAGGATCTCTGCTAGAAACCTTGTCAGAAATTGAGAATGGCAAATGTACTCTTAGAGCATGGCATCATCACAGGGGTTAGGAAGGGTCACTGACACACACATGACTTGTTTCCTTTCTTTTCTTCTTTATATCTCTGCCCTGATGGCTGGTTTTGTTCCTTCCCTTGGATGAATGTCCTTCCAGGGAGTTAGGACACAGGCTGTCACTGTTATTAGAGACTTCAAGACTTTGTCTTGGGATCAAGTCTAAACAAAGAATCACAAAATTTTGTTTTCCCTATTTGTTTTTATTTGAAAGCCAACGATATTGAGTGATTGTTCTAGAAAAATAGAAGGCACAAAGAAAGTAGTGAATTATGATAAACTAATTGTCACCTCAGACTCTCATGTATTATCTATCTTTATCTGGGATAAAGGGTAGTATATTTCTTTTTTTAAAAAGATTTATTTATTTATACATCAAGAACTGGGGTACAGGCCAGAGAGCAGTGGGTGAGAGGATTCACCAGGGACAGATGGGAAACAGAACAGGCAGACTGACTGAAATACATTGCTGAGGGGAGCAGTGGGAGAGTCAGGAGAGGTCTGCTGCGCCATGTGGGTAGCTCCCTGCCCGGGGATTGAACTCATTCTGCAGTGGCTGTGGATAGCTTCATAGGTTGCATCTTAACCCCTTGTGCCACCAGGGAGGCCCGAGGGTAGTATCTTTCTTTGACCAATCTCTATGGCTTCATAGTGTACTCATTCAAAGTAAGACCAAGAATTTACACATATTACACTGTTGGTGATAATGTAAATTGCTATGGCCATTATGGAAAGCAATCTGGATTTATCTTAAAAACTAAAAATAGAAATACTACACAACCCAGTAATCCCACTCTTGGGCATTTATCCGAAGAGCAAAAAAACCATCAACGCAAAAAACTGTCTTTTCTACAATGCTTATTGTGCACTGTGTACAATAGCTAGGACATGGCAGCAGCCTGAATGTCCATCCATAGATTGCTAGATCAAGATGCAGTATATCCACACTATGAACCACCACCCATGATAAGGGAAGAGGAAATGCAGCCATACACAGCAAAACAGAGGGAGTTCAAGAGAATTATGTGTAAAGCAGTAAGTCTTAATGACAAGGACAAATACTAGACATTTACATAGCAGACAACTAGACAAAGTAAAATACTTATGAAAACTTGTGGATATTGATAAACACTCTGAGGGCTCTGTAGCTGAGAGAGAGAGAAAGGGAGAAATGGACAAGGGGAAATAAGATATGGTGGTGGGGAGAAATATAAAAGGTATTATATCAGCAATGAAAAAACACAAAAATAAGTGGATTTTAGGGAAACAATGGGCCTGAAAGTTACAATCATGCATGGCTGTGTTAAAGAGCAGAATGGCAATGTTAAGATAATGGATGTAGGTTTCAATGCAAAGGATTTAGTTTATATTGCCTAATATTGCTGTGCTGTGCACAGCAATTTTTAAGAACATGAAAAAAGAACAAATTATCACTGGAAAATTCCTGTATTTGTCACTACCATACTGTTTTGATCAGCAGGAAACCAAAGAGGTTGTTTTCGCACAAGTTTTCTTTTTCTCTTCTTAACATGGCAAAAAAAATTAATGTACTATAAATGTTGTCACAAAACTTTGCTATAGACTCAAATGACTTTTCAGGAAGGAGACAGTGGCCTGCAGGGCATATTGTGAAACTGGGGTAAAGTTGAAAGGATTCAAGCCAGAGGGAACTATGGAAGGGGACACATTGAGTTAATCTGCCTATAAATTGCTGCGTGTCTTCCAGAGAAGCCCTCGTGCTTGTTTTACCATGTGTTGAGCGAAATGTGTCCACACATATCCCAAAGACCACCGTGAGACTTTCTGTTGTCACGAAGAATGGGCTTCCTAAATCTGTACAACATGCCATGTTTGGGACTCAAGTTCCCTGGCCATTTGCTTTCTACAGGATGAAAAGTCTCTGATGACCACACAGTCCATGCAGGTTGGAGGTTTTGCGTGGTGCTCCTATTTGTGACTTCCCTTTCATAACTCAGCTGAAGATGAAAGCAATTTAACGTTCAATGACCTGCTTCTAGGATACACATGGCATTCAAAATTATCATCAAATTATATCTAGAATGCAGCCATTTCTCCCTCCTGCCACTGCTGTTGCTCCGGCCTGAGCCACTGACTGCCTCAAGTGCCATATGGCAATGGGCTCCCTCAGTTTGGAGCAGGCCACACCCTAGCTTAGAATCCTCTAGTGGCTCACAAGACAATGTTTCATTTTTGGAACCAGACTCATTGAGTTCCTGGCAGACTCTGTGTGCCTCTGCGTACAGCACTTTGGAGGAGGGGCAGTGGCTGCCCATTGTTATCTCCCTGCTTCTCACAGTCCCTAAGTGAGCCAGCGGCTCTGGGAATTTGCCCGTCCTGCTGGAGGAACACTCTTCCTCATATACCCTCTGCCTGCTCCCTCACCTCTTTGGGTCTCTCCTCCACTTTAACTTAACCACTGTCGCCTTTTCTGGCTACCTAATTTAAAAGTGCATCCCTCCCAACATTTCCTACATCCCTTCTGTTTCTGCTTTTTAAAAGTTTAATTAATAGGCTTTATTCTTAGAGTAGTTTTAGGTTCAAAGCAAAATTGTAGCTTAAGTACGAGTTCCCACATCACCCCTTCTTTGCCCCTCTATGTACAGCCTCCTCATTATCAGCATTCCCACAAGAGTGAGTGGTGCATTTGTTATGATCTCTGAAACTACATGGACACATTGTCACCCACCCAGAGTCCAGAGTCCACAGTTTACATCAGGGCTCACTGTCGGTGTTGTATGTTACATGTGTTTGGACAAATGTCTAATGACGCGTATCCACCAGTACAGTATCATATAGAATAGTTTCACGGACCCTGAAAATCCTCTATGCCCTGCCTATTCATCCCTCTCTCCCCACAAACCCCTGGCAACTGCTAATCTTTTGACTCTCCATATTTTGCCTTTTCCAGAATGTCATGTACTTGGAATCACACTGCAGGTAGCATTTTCAGATTTCTTTCACTAAGTATCATGCAGTAAAAGTTTCTCCCCATCTGTTCATGGCTTGATAGTTCATTTCTTTTTAGTGCTGAATAAAATGTCATTGTCTAGATATACCGCAGTATCTGCTACCCACAGAACATCTTGGTTTCTTTCAGTTCTTCCTTCCCCCCAGATAGTGCTCATCATTATCTACTATACTCTTTACTAGACTTGTTTATGTTTTTTAGGGTAGGGGTTTGTTCTCTGTTATATCCTATATGCTCCACTTTGTTCTCTGTTACATCCTAGCGCATAGAACAGTGTTAGTGTATAGAAGTTACTCAAGTGGTATGCTGATGAAATCATAGTAAAAAGATATCCAAAGGTACCAATGTTACTAAACTTATCATTACTCACACAAGAATGAAATATACTTCAAATGATACTGCCATCACTGATAATATTTTCTTTCTCTAAAAATGTGAGCTCCATCACAGCAGAGCTCTATTCTGCTGCATTGTCTGCTATATTCTGGATACTGAGACAATGCCTGGCATGTAGTAAAGGTATTCTAAGAATATTAGTTAGATGGATAATCAGTACATCTAAATTTACTGGCTTCTTTACTTTATCATTTATCTGTTGGCAAGGTATTTTTAGTGAATCAAAGAGATATTTAAAACCAATTCATTTTTGAAATGATACATTAGTATAGCCATAAGTTATCACTGTTTGGTCCAAGCTCAATTGTAATTTACTGCCATAATCTGAAAAAAAATTACATTATTATTTCAAGTTCTCTGTGTTACAGTATAATGCTTAAAGTGATGTCAGGAAAAAAAAATCTATGTGTAAATGTTTTATGAATATACCATGTGCTAGTGGATGAAGAGGAGTAAGGAGAAACAGATGAACAAATCATCTTCAATGACTGTGGATTTTGAATGGCCAACAGCTATTCAATTCATAAAATTAAAGATAAGACTAAGTAAAGTACTCCATTTCTAGAAGTGGCAGATGTGGAAAATCTCAATAAAGTCATAAAATAGGATGACAGAGAATTCTTTAGTTGATGATTTCTCTTGCTCTGAACCCCCCCAAAAATGTTAAAACAAGAGAGCCTTTATTTTGTTGAGGAAGTTTAGAAGGATGTATTTCATGAAGGGAAAAATCCAACATCTTTATGGATGAATATAATATATGATGACTGAGGAAGTTCTTAGAAAACTTACCCATCATTGTTCACATCTGATACTGCAACTGTGTATCCAAAATAAGATGCCATCTGCAAAGTAAAACCATAAAATATTTCATGTTAAAAAATAATTTTATAGCCATCTCTCCATTATCCCTGAAAGATTAATCTCCCTGCAGTAGACATTTGCATTTAAAACCATAGACTCTTAAACATAGACAGAGTCTTCAAGCCATTTAGTCTAACCCCTGACCCAATGCAAAATTTGCCCTGCAATACCCCGACATCTGCTGGGACATCCTTTGGAGATGTTCAACAATAAGCCCATCCAATTTGTAGGCACAATTATTAGAATATTCCTTGCTAACATTGGCCCAACTGTAACTTCTTATCTTTAATCCCACCTAGTTCTATAATCTTGAGCCTCACAGAATAAATCTAATTTCACTTCTATGTGAAATCTCATACAAAAATAGTTCCAGGGGCCTCCCCGGTGGTACAGCAGTTGAGCGCTGGGTTGCGAAGCTGCCCGTAGCTTCTGCAGCGCCGGTTTGATCCCTGGCCACCAGGCGAGGGTCCCATATGGCGCGCAGACCTCTCCTGCCGCCCGCTGCTCCCCTCAGCAGTGTACTTCATCAGTCTGCCTGCTCTGCTCTCCGCTCTGACTCTGGTGAATTCTCTCACCCTCCCACACTTCTGACTGTACCCAGTGCTTGTATAAATAAATAAATAAATAAATAAATAAATAAATAAATAAATAAATAAATAAAAATAGTTCCAGCTGGTTCATTATCTTGGCCCTTCTGTCTTGGAGATACCACAAAAAAGCAAAAAAAGATGATACCCCATGAGCACACTGACAGAAGAGTTAGGAGGTAAGACTTACACTCTACTTTGAACTCTTTGTATTACTGAAACATAAAAAGGGTTGTAATTTTGGGAGAAACCATGTCTCAATATCAATTCATATTTTCACATTGAGCTTATTGTCAAAATTCCTATATCTTTCCTAAGTGTAGCTAGTAAAATAGTCTCTGCACACTCTATCTCTTAAGTTTTTTAAACTGTATTTTCAAGATGTATAATCTTGATTTGACCCAGTTTGGCTCATTCTACATGCCAAGATTTTTTGTTTCATATGCTGTTACTCAATGTTTTAACTGTCTTAGACTCCAGTCACCTCCTAATTTAATCAGTCTACAATCCACTAGAAAGTGTGCTGCTCCACAGAAGGCACAGAGACTGGCCTGTGTTGTTCACTTTTCTATTTGCACAGCCTGGGTCATGTTTAGCCCAATGTAGGTGCTGGGTTCCCGTTACTCTTTGCAGAGGGAATGAGCACATGATGAACAGAGAAATTATTAGAGCAATTATTCAATTCTTTCATTTTCTTTTCTTCCAAACACACACAGTTGCTATAGACTGAATGTTTGCCTCCCCCTGAAATTCTTATGTAGAAACCCAGTCCCCAATGTGATAGTATTAGGAGGTGAGTGTTGGGGATTAGGATGATTGTATTAGAAGATGAGGCCATGAAGGTGGGAACTCATGAATGGAGATGGTACCCTTGTAAAAGAGACTCTGGAGAGTTCTCTAGCCCTCCCTTTACCAGGTGAGGGCACAGCAAAAAAGACTTCTGTGAACCAGGTCTCACCAGATACCTAATCTGCCCATCCCTTGGTCTTGGAAGTTCAGCCTCCAGAACTGTGAAAATTCAATGTTTGCAGTTTTAGCCAGTCAGTCTATGGTATTTTTCTTATTGTAACCTGGATGGACCAACCAGGGGTTGGTGGTTAGGGAAAAAAATTGGTTATGTAGAGAAACAAATCCAGCTCGTGATGGAGTCCCTTATATGACAATAACATACTAATTATTTAGAGTAATGAGGCAAATTTCAACAAGTCATGAGAGGTAGATGAAATGTGACTCAGGCCATGTTAGATCTGGAGGATGACTAGTGCAGCCTGTTTTCAGGTAAGTGGCCCATTCATAATTTCATAAGGCCCCAGCAAGTGGCAATAGGTAAGGAGCAGGCATAAGATGTAGCTCTTGGGGCACGCAGACCTCTCCTGCCGCCCGCTGCTCCCCTCAGCAGTGTATTTCGTCGGTCTGCCTGTTCTGTTCCCTGCTCTGGCTCTGGTGAATTTTCTCACCCTCCTGCTCTTCTGACTGTACCCAGTGCTTGTATAAATAAATATATAAATCTTAAGGGAAAAAAAAAGATGTAGCTATTGGGAGAAAAGACTAGAGCAGAACAGACAGCTAGTCAACTTTCAGATGATGTTGGGGTCAGGGAAGGGCTCTAGTCACAGCGAGGAAGAGCAGGGTCCAGCTTGTTGGCTCTGACCAATACAGGAGGGTCTATTAGTAGATTGTAATATCTCAGAGGGAGAGCAGGCATCCAGAGCTCACCACCAGGCACACTACACATGGGCTGCAACATAGCAGATGTCTGTCCCATCCCAGCAGTTAGTAGCATTTTGCTTTCTAAGGAGTTGGTCAGCATAAACTCAGTGGGTAGCAGGCCTTCTGAAAGTCCAGGCATGCTGATAGTCCTTAGTCTGTGCCTGGAGTAAACCCTGCCTGCATTTATCTGTAGTTTGGTTTCTTGCTCTTAATTTCATTGCTCTTGAAGATGTGTTTCAGTTGCCCCCACCCTGTGTGTGTGTGTGTGTGCGCACACACACTCAGCAGAATGCTCTGTCTCCCACCTGGTGAGAATCTGTAGGTAGCTGGCATCACAATGGATTCTTCATTGTTCTCAGCTTCTTCCATCACAACTTGCTGTGCCAGCTGCATCAGGGTTACTACTTGTCACTAGTAATTACTTAGTCACTTCATAAGAACCTACCCCATACTACTCATGACTTCTGTTAACTTATTTTTAAATGCAGCATATAGTGGTCAAGAGCTCCTTCTAACTAGAACTCAGAATTCCCTCCACCCCAACCCCTGCTATCTCAAGGCAGATGCATGATAAAGAGGGAATAAACAGTGTGCTTTGGCAGAGAGGAGCTCAGTGTTGGCTACTATATCAGGTTTGAACATGTTCTTAAATTTGAATGTAAAGTTATTAAAAATAACTTGAAAGCAGGGAATTACTAAGAAAAAAAATCAGATACAACCACTTCTGAATGAAAACAGAATAAACATTCCAAATATTTTTAAAAGTATTTATGTTATTGTGCCCTTTCATTTGAATAAGTCTGTGGATCTCAAACTTGAAGCTCTAGACTCTCAGGATTCTAAGAAACAAATATTCTCCAGTGACAGTCCGTTCCCTACAAGGATTGGTTTATTATTGCTAATGTAGTATTTCCATTTTGATGGTAACCTTGAAGAGCTGATAAATGTGTTCTGAAGCATATGGATACCATCTCACGCTCAATGCCTTCAGGGTTGGGTTTGTGTTTTACCATCTGATTGGCATCCATATGACTTTTTCTTGGACTTGGCCAAAAGAACAGAGGCATGATGTATTTCCTCTGAGTCAAGGCCACATGCTACCACACCAGAAATAGGAATGTGACTATATGTGTGAATTCGAGAACAGAATTGGGAGAAGTCAGAGATTCATTCCATGCAGTTATTCCCTAAGCAGAGAATATCTAGCACCTTGCACTGACTTTGGGCTGTGGTGCAGGCACTGCAGGTAGAAGAGGAAACAAAGTCCCCATCTTCTGTGAGGCACACTTTGGAGGGGGGCAGCATCCGGCTGACAGCCCAATGCAGTCTGTACTCTCATCACTCTGTGGGCACCCTGTGTTGCCACAAAGCAATGTCATCTGTTCAAATTCAATGAATGGGACTGATTTTAGATGTATTGCTTCCCTGGTTTTTTTGTATATCATTTTTAATTAAATTTGTCATTCTGTTTCTGAATAAGTCTCAAGTAGTCTTATGAAAGTTAGAAACACAAGTTGTGCATTGACTTTAGATTTTTTGTATAGTTAAACCAGGAAACCAGGGGTCTGTATATTACTTACATAAATAAACAATAGTTTATGATCATTGAAAGTTCATAAATTTACATACATGTTGGATTATAGAAGACTTAAAGAATTAAGGTTTGTTTAATCAAAAAGAAAAGGAAAGAAAGGGGGGAAGTAGGGGATGTTCTTTTCTTGGGGAGTACTAGGAACATAAGAATATACTAGGAACGCAATAATCTAAAATCCTTGATTCATTTCATTTTCAAAGGGAGTTTCGAAGGTAGAGGTTTCATTCTTGTTTTTGCAAATAGGGCTCACAGAAGGCAGGTGATTGTTGTGACACAATTCACAGCTGGCACTATGAAAACTGGGGCCCTAATGTGTCCACTTCTGAAGTCCAGGCCCTTTCTACAATGGCCCTTCCTCACATCTTAAATGACATAATTCATGGATTTCTAGACTACTGCAAGGTTCGTGCCAATAAAAAACAACTTACCACTGCACTTCCAGTCAGTTCCACACTCCTAAATATGGCTCACACATGCAACCCCAAAGGCTTGCATGAATAGCCTCTGACCCCTCTGTCCCCAAAACCTACTCCTCTCTCACTTATTCATGGTCCCTGTGACCTTCTTTCTGCTCCTTAGTCACACCCAGCTGGTTCTTGATCAAGGCCTTGATATTAGCTATCTCCCTTACCTGGAACATTCTAGACAAGATGACATAGTTGGCTCTGTCTGTCATTCACACCTCAACTCAGCTCAGATGCTACCTGAGAGGGCTCTTGTATGAGCCTACCCAAAAGCTCTCTTGCCAACAACTCTCCTAGTATATTACCCTGTCGTGTTTTCTTCATATCACTTATCACTATGTGAAATTGTGAGCATTTACTTGTTTGTTGATAAATCCTTTCCCCTCCTCACACTACTGCAAGAAGGATGGACTCTTGTCTGTCTGATGAGAGCTGTATTCCCAATGCCTAGAACAGCTTCCAGTACCTAGTAGGGCTCAGTTAATATTTGTTTTATCAATGAATAATGTGAATATCACAATATACTATTAGTACAGAATGACATTAACTATTTAATATTAAAATATCTTTACCTGTTCACCAGTGAAATTCTGAATAAAGGTCATATCTGTTGAGTTTATAATCGAAACCTGAAATCATAGAAATTGGATAGATTAAATCATTTGACATAGAATTAGAAAATAAAATTGCAACATAACTCCTTTTGAAATTGTTGTGAAGTGTGATAAAAGATTAACTACATATCAAACAAAAAAGCCCATATGAATGATTTTTTTAATCCCATGAAACTTTTTGTTTGTGGTTCAATCTGGGATCCTTTCAAAAATAATGCATGCTTATTTATCTGAAGACTTGAAAACATGATTTAAAATATGTTTTTCTTTTCATAAGGTCTGTGGCTTTTCTTTTCCTATTTTTGTGGGAACTAGTTATAATAGGTGTGAATAGCATGTCTTCAAAATTCATAACTACCCAAAACTTCAGGAGGTGACTTGGTTTGGAAAATAAAGTCTTTGGACTTGGGATGAAATCATCATGGATTTAGGGTGGGCCCTACCCCCAATGACTGGTGTCCTTATGAGAAAGGAGAGAACACACATAGATTTAGATGGCAGAATGCCATATGCAGACAGAGGCACAGACTGAAGTTATGCTGGAACATGCCCAGGAAAAGTAAGGGTCACTAGAAGCTCGAAGACAAATCTACTCCTACATGCATTGGAGGGAGCGTGACCCTGCCGAAGTCTTGATATCAGACTTCTGCCCTCTTGAATTGTGAGAGAATAAATTTAAGTTGTTTTAAGCCACTTAGTCTGTAGTTCCAGAAAACTAATATACAGATGAAATAACTATTTTTTTTATTTCCACCGTGTGAGACATATTAAAATGCTGATCATATCAACATTGGTACCTTCTGTAATTATTCCAAGATAATGGACAAGGCTAGGGCTGGCTTCATGGATGTGGGACTGTATAATCACATAGGTCCCAGGCTTAGAGGGGCTCTACATTTGGTTTAATGCCCAGCTATTATTGACCTGAAATTTTTAATAATTTTGAGCAAGGGCCCTTATATTTTCATTTTGCTCTAGATCCCACAAAATTATATAGCTGATCCCTCACATAGAATGGGGTGGGGGCATTTAGCTTCATTTGTTTTTCTTCTTTTAAATAAGCAAATAAGCATGGATTGCTATTAAAGGGTATTTCAAAAGATTTAAAAGTTGTAAGGATCAACACAAGCCTTTGCTCATGAAAGGAAAAGCCCTACAATGCACTCTTAGTACTCACATAGCCAAAGTTCTGTGCTCCTCTTGGAACTCCAGCAATCAATTCTGGGAATAAAAATAGCCCTTTAGAAGGTAAATTTCACCTATACTTTATACAACAAATCAGTTAAAAGCAGTGCTTTTTATTTTTTTAAAATAAATTTTATTTTTATATTCCCCATACAATTGCAACCCTCTTATTTTGACCCCAATCCCTCCCCACCCCCCACCCCCCATAGAATGTCTCTGGTTCATAGTTTTTTGTTGATTTTGATTTTCACTTTCTTATAGTTATTCATTTTCCTGGTCCCTTATTTAAGTTTTCTAGATTCCTGCTATGAGTGAGACCATCCGGTATTTTTCTTTTTCTTTCTGGCTTATTTCTCTGAGCATGATCCCTTCCAGCGCCATCCATGTTGCTGCAAATTGCATGTGTTTATCTTTTTTGAATGCTGAGTAATATTCCATGGTGTATATGTACCATATCTTCTTGATCCAGTCATCTATTTTTGGGCATTTGGGTTGTTTCCAAAGCTTAGCTATTGTAAACAGTGCTGCTATAAACATAGGGGTGCAGGTGCTCTTTGGAATGGATATTTTTGTGTCCTTTGGGTAAATACCTAGGCAGTGCTTTTTAAATGAGTAACCATCCTCTATACAGTTGGAAGTTTGAAGTCATGATATTGCATTTACCTTTGCATCTGCTATAGACAATAGAAATCAGAGTAAAAGTCTTATTTTACTAGTCTATATGTGTTTCTGCCTCTAGCACATAAATCTGACTTCCCAGGTCTGCATGGGATTGGCAGGCTAAACTTCCAACTCTGATTTATCCAGCTTTCACTGGGGTGACATCTTTTGTACTAGTGTAAAAAGTAACAGTTACTATCACACGACCACTTTGGTCAATGGATTTCAGGTAGATTATGAAAAGACAGGGATGAAAGCAGAGAGATCAGTTAGGAAGCGATTGCAGTAACATAGGTGGGGGACTTAGCTCAGAAGAGAAACTATAGAGTGAGAAATGGTCAGATTCTGTATGCATTTTGAGAGATTAGTTAGCAGGATTTGTTCATGGATTGGATGTGGAAGAGGTGTACCGACAGAAAGAGCACAGTCCTTGGTGGACTTCCAAGGTTTAAAGCCTGAGCAACTGGAAATACAGCATTACTACTTACTAGGATGGAGACTGTAGAAGTAAGTTCTGGTGGGAAAGTAAAGAGTTCAGTTATAAGCACATTACGTTTGGGGTAGTTATTAAAAAGATATTGTGTGTTGAGTAGTGTTTCTAGATATTAGAAAATGTGTCCATGTATAAACCGAAGAAATATACAAGACTGGATGGGATTACTAAGAGCTCAAAGAAGAAAGAATCCAAGTATTTAACTCTGGGAAACTTTAATGGAAAATTGAAGGCGAACCAGTAAAAGAGGTGGAGATGGGGCTGCTGGTATCTGGAAGCCATGGAAAGAAACGAGAAGGTAGTGATCAACTCTGTCAAATATTCCTGATAGTCAAGGACAATGAGTTGCATGGAGGACACTGGTTTGAGTGACAGGAGCAATTGCAGTAGAGCAGGAGTGAATTTAAGGGAAGGGGTGACCAGGAACTGATGGACAAATGCAAGCAGAGAAGTTCTTTTGAAGCAGAGCAATATCAGTAGTAGCTCATAAGGAAGTGGAATAAGAGACATTTTTTTAAGATGGGAGAAGTAACAGTATGCTAGTATGTTAGTAGGAATGATCCAGTAGCAAGGGAAATATTGATCACGATGAATTAAAGAATCAAGAATTGCTAGAGTCCCCTCCCTGTGACCTGAGAGGGAATGGAATCCTGTGCAAAGGGAAGGGTTAACTTTATATGGAAGTATGAATAGTTCAATGATAGCATGGTCAGGGAAGGTGAAGCATGTTCATGAAAAATAAAATGGGATTCAGAAAATCTAAGTTGTCTGGATACATTGCCAGGAGAGCTGTCAAACTGAACACTGCTTACATTTCAATAAACTTTATTTGGTATGAATTAAATTCTCCTGGCACCTAAAAGCAAACCATAATCAAATATAATGATGTTGGGCCTCCCTGGTGGCGCAAGGGGTTAAGACGCAACCTATGAAGCTATTTGCAGCCACTGCAGCACGAGTTCAATCCCTGGCCAGGGAGCAACTCACATGGTGTAGCAGACCTCTCCTGACTTGCTTGCTGCTCCCCCCAGCAGTGTGTTTCACTTGATCTGCCTGTTCTGTTCCCTACTCTGTCTCTGGTGAATCCTCTCACTCCCCACACCTCTGGCCTATACCCCAGTTCTTGTATGCATAAACAAATCTTTAAAAATATATAATGTTGTTAACTAATTTCAGTATCAAGCATGCAAACCAGTAAAGATTGAGGGGGAATTATAGCATTTGAGATACATGTCAATCTCTACTTCTTATACCGCACAAATATTCAGAACTTTGTTTAAAGAAAAAAACAACAATCATCATACCCAGTAACTTTGTAGTCTGCAACCTATGATCACAACACTAAGGAGTTATGAAATGTAATGTTGGTTAAAGATATTCAAAATAATTTTAAAACTATCAAGACAGTTAAATTGGTTGGAGTCTAAGGCAAATTAGGAGAACTGTCAGTCATCTACAAAAATATTCCCTCGGGAGGGAAAAAAGGAGACTTTTCTTAGATCCATTCCAATAACTTTGGCAAAACTTTCCAAGGTCTCTTAATACCAACAATACACTCAGGAAAAAATTTAGATCCCTGACCTCGAAATACTTGACTCAGCCCCAGTAGGGAGAAGTGAAAAGGAGGCTAGAGTTTACTAAATGTCTTCTACCCACTAGACAATGTGCCATGTGCTTTAATATAGCCCTCAGTTTTTAATTATTTTTTTTATTTTTGCGTAGAAGAACTGGGGTGCAAATCCGAGGTGTGTGGGAGTGTGTGTGTGAGAGAGGACTCACCAAGACAGAGTGGGGAGCAGAACAGGTGGATCCATCAAAACACACTGCTAAGGGGAACAGCGGGCGAGACAGGAAAGGTCTGCTGCGCCGTTTGGGTCAGCTCCTTGGCCAGGGATCAAACTCAGGCCATAGTGGTGATAGTGCTGAAACTCAACCCCTAGTGAAGGTAGTGCTGAAACTAGTGAAGATAGTGCTGAAACTCAAGCCCAGTGAAGGCCATAATATCTCCCACATTTAATCTCCCAAAATTAGGCATTCATATCCCTTTTTTACTTATGGGGAAACTGAGGCTTAGAAAGGTTGAGTCATCGTACATAGTTGGTGAGTAGAGAATTCAAGGATTGATGGCAAATCTAACACTCTATCATATCAAATGACTTCCCTCGGATTGCTTAGCATCAGAACACTTTCTTGGGTTCACCATATCTGACTCTACAGTGAGAATGTAGGATTATACAACATTTTTGAGTCATTGTCTGATTAAGTAGAAAGTAAACATGGTCAGCCTTGTACTCAAAGTAGTCTGATGAATAGAATGCAATGTCCTTTGATAGAGCCTTTATTTGGGTACCCACAAATGACTTAAAACTTGGATCCATTTTCTAGATATTTCTGAGATTCAATAGAAAACCTCAATGATCTACCATTTTTCCCTATGATACATGTCATGAACCATCATTAATTTCCTTGGGTCAGAACAAACTGCTTTTCTGAGGAGTTTCCTAATGTTATGCTTAAAACTTATATCGCAAATTTTAGTTTACTTTGCTAAACTGTTAGGTGAGTGATTGTAAGATTTGACATTTTAAGAGTACTAGTTATTCAATTCTATCTCTAATGGCTCTTAATCCAAGGGTTCTTTCCTTTTACAGGTAATGTTTAAATGTACTTATTATATATCAGGCATTGTACTGTTTTATGAATATATAAGATTAACTGATTTAATCCTCATAAGTATCCTATGATGTAAATGGTATTATCATCATTATCCCTCTTTTAGAAGGGTGAAATAAAATTATGGAGCTATTAAGTAACCAGATCACAGAGCTAATAAATGAGATGATGGAAGGAAGCTAAAAGATTTTGGAAGAGATGACAATTGAAATTGGCCACACATAAAATAATAAATAATAGCTTCTGATCACTGGCACATGAGGGTAGAAAGATAATCAGAGGACTGAAAACATAGAAGGCAGTCAAAACAAAGTCAAAGGACAAATGCTGGGGAGCAGGTATGAGAATAGGGTTATTTTGTTCTGTTATTTGAGGTTTGTGAGAGTCCAAGGGGAAAGAGGAAATGATGTGGAGATGGTCGGTTGGAGTCAGTGGGGAGTTTAGTTTGGACATGTCCAATATGAGGTTTCAGAGACTTCCGTAAAGGAGAAGGATTTCTGAAATTGGATCTGTCACTAACAGCATGGCTTAAAGTGATCATCTGTATTTCCTTCATTCATAACATGGGACTGCTAGACTCTTTATTGCTTAACTTGATTTTATAAGGATTGATATTCAGTCTTATGAAAGTTTTAGGATCTAAAAAGCTGTGCCAAAGCATTTATTTTATCTGTATTTCTACAAAATATTACCATACATTCTGGGGATTCCTTTTATATATTTCTGTGTAGCAAAGAAAATGAAAGTTTTAAAAGGACTTTATAGGTCATTTTATCCTTCCCCTGTGTTTTATAAATAACTCAGATTCAATAAATTCTCTCACCTTGCTGAGAGTCTCCAGTAAATTCCCCAGCAGCAACTGAGTATCCTGTTTTAAAGAAAAAAAGAAAGAAGAGTTAATCACATATTTGAAGGTTTTGCAAATGAGCTTTATCTAGAAAATGAAAGAATTATCATCAAACTGCTTTGTGCAGAAATTTGAATGTAAAAGTCTAGGGTTTTGTAAAAGGAAGAATTAATCAAATCAATACAAACACATTTATACTAAGTCATGGAAGCTTAATAAATGTGCTACTTCTGAATGTGACAACAGTCAGATTCTCAAGTCACTTTTAAAATCAGGCATGCTTCACAATCCATCCTAAAGTATAAATGGTGGTTTTAAGAATTGCTAATTCATCATGATCAGACAAGATCTTCTAAAAAGTATCCTTTTTCTCAGGCTTTGTTAGTTTTGATGATCACCAAGTCCTACTTCCTAATTCCTTTCACCATTGTTTTCCACAAATTTTACTTAGCTCTGTAGTGAGATGAGGTGACAAAAGACAACTATAATTTTTTTAAAAAAATTCATCAAAGGCCTCCCTGGTGGCGCAAGGGGTTAAGCACTGCACTATCAAGCAATCCGCAGCCTCTGCAGCACAAGTTCGATCCCTGGCCAGCCAGGGAGCTACCCATATAGCGCAGCAGACCTCTCCTGTCTCGCCCACTGCTCCCCTTAGCAGTGAGTCAGTCTGCCTGTTCCCTACTCTGTCTCTGGTGAATCCTCTCACCCCCCATATCTCTGTCTGCGCCCCAGATCTTGTAAGCATAAATAAATAAAAATATTTTTAAAAAATTCATCAAATAATCAAAATGCCCTGAGGATAACAAAGGTGGGAAAATATTGGCAAAATAGTATTGTGTGGTTTGCTCATAATAAACTTTGAGAACTTTCAAACAACTGGAATATCTCTCGTTGCTCTAGAAACTTGAAAGGGTCGATATCATGTAGTCCCCGTAGCACTGGGTGGTTCCTCGAATACACAGTATCTACTACTAGAAAAACATTTTATGTTCAAGAGACTGTTATGAAACCTATAAAATAGCTATTTACCCAAGTAGGTTAATATATGTTAACTCAAGTAGGTTAATATATGATAACGGAAATAAAAGATAGTTAAGAATTCATCAAGCTAATAAGATAATTTGCATAAGATGTCAAATAATATCAGATTAGGCCAGAAATAAAATTTGCATCTACATTCAATATGCTTGTTTTTTGAGAAATCACAGAGGTCGAGCAATGGATCTCACCAAGGTAACTGTCATCATAGGAAGCCGGAGCCACTTCTGTCTGTTTTTCTCGTGTCAACTTCCTTAGAATATCCTTGAATGAGTAATTTGCAATGATATCTGCAACACTGGCAGTGATCACTTGACCTGTGTTTAAACAAATTAATACATTAACTGAATGTGTGCAAGAGACAGAGCCTTCCTTGGCAGACACGGAACAGCTGAACAACACACTTTCCCTTGAAAATGACTGTGGTTTTGCTTGCATTTCAAAGATGAATTCTCCCACTTGCCACAAGAACTGCTAGTAGATGAGCTACATAGTTTTATCTGTCTTCCTGCTGCCTATGCCATATGGACTTCTTCTACCTCCAAATTATAGCAATATCTTAGTAAGAAAACACATGCAGGCAACATTTATGTGATTAAACTTTTATTCTAGAGTGTTCTAGATAAAAGGCAACTTTGAGATCATCTAGTCAAAATATAGCTTCTTACAGATCCTTAGACAATGAGTGCACTATCAGGTAATATGGTTTTGCTAATAAGCTAGTTGGTGTTACAATGAATGCTTTGGCATTCTAAAACTTTTTGTGTTCTTCCAAAGTACAGATGTATTACATCTAAATCACTGACTAAGTAAATTGTGAAACACATCAGCTAAGTTAAAGGAAAGAATTAAATAAAATTTGAGCCATTTACTTTTTATACTAAAATGCATACATAGAGCATAAAATTATAACAACAAGCAGCAATGTCTAATGAGACCCAGGATTTTGGCCAAAAAAAGAGAAAAATCCATAGCCACCAACATTGATATAAGAACTTGGGATAATTTCTGACAAATAAAGTCACTGTCAGAAGCTTTCAAGTGTGATTATATTGGGAGGACAAATATCCAAATAATACCAGTAATTTTCATCTATAATATCTAGACATTCCCTTATTTATTATGGGCACCTAATGGAAAAGTGTGATCTTATACTCTTTGGGAGAAAACTGGAGAGGTGCTTTTAAAAGACTAACATTTAATATTAATTTTAAACCTAAGTTATTCCTGGGGAAGTCACAGATAATTCAGTTTTCCTGTTTGAAGTTCAAAAAGAGTAAAATTGTCAAGTCAGGTCATAAATATTTCCAAATGACTGCATGAAATGACTGTTCTGATGTTAAGATGATATTTACACATTAATTTTTGAAAAATGTCTATAGAATTTGCCAATTTTCTGTAGGTTAAAGCTAAATGTCCCCTTTTCTCTTCCCACACACACCCTGCCTTTTTGCTGTTTCCCTTAACTACTTCTATAAACATTACAGTCTTAAGCCTGAATAACATTTTAAGTTATCGCTATCAGAGAAATGTTTCTATATCCTATTGACATGGTTAATTTGCAGGAAAACATTTGTATCAGACATTTTTCAATTTAAGGAAAAGAAAGAATTCTGTAAAATAAATCAAATGAATTAGAAGATAATCTTTTGAAATACACATCATTTTTATTTCATATCCATCTGCTGGATAAAATACAGTTTTTCAGTTTGAAAAATAATCTTTAAAGACTGAAATGTTAACTACTCACTGTTCATAGCTGTGTATGTAATTACATAGTCCATATACATAGTTGTATGTGAAATTAACAGCAATTTCATGTAAAATTTTATCATCAATCCATACCTCCTGGATCTTTCCTGTTGACTTTTAATCATAATCAGATTGTTTCCCTTTAGAGAATAAACTTCACTCAACTATTCTCTCAACTATTCTCTCTGTTTTTATCCTAAACTTAACAACCAAAATTCAGTCTATGTTCTTTGTAATCTCTTTTAAGGCGTCCCATCCACAACAGAGCTCCCATTATCACTAATGATACAAGTTTTTATTTCAGCCTAAACTAGCTTTTCTGGGCTTATGCCCATAAATTTAAATACTGATGTGAAAATTTTTGGAAATCTCAAACATATTCATATTCAACATAACCTAAAGCAAATTCATAATCTTTCTTCTCTAGCCCAATCCAAACTTGTGTCTTCCAGTGTTCTCCATCTTAGTAAGTGCGACCCACCTATAGTCACTCAATTGCAAAAGTCAGAAACATGTCCTTGATATGCTTTCCTCCCTCACCCCCATATGTCCAACCCATCACCTATTTTGTCTCCAGACTCTCAATTTTCTCTTCTTTTCCTTTCTGTACCATCACCCTCCTAAGAGGCAACCATCTTCATCTGAACCCTGTAACTGGTTAACCTTAGAAACTTATAACTCACATACAACCTTACAGGCAGTTTGCTGGTGCTTCCTTTTGGTCCATCTTCAATCCATTTTCTGTATTGCAGCCAGAATAATCTTTCCAAAACGCAAATGTGATCAGAAAACCCTACACTTAAGTTCTCCAGTGTTTCCCATTATTATCAAGATAGACAATATACTCTTGCTTTAGCCAAGGTCGCCCATTTATATGCCTACAATCAACCAGGGGGCTGTCATTATTTTTAGGTTAAAGGCAAAACTGCTACCTTGACCCACGCACCCTGCATGGTCAGTGGGGCACTCCCTAGCCACCCTGCCACCCTCCGTACCCACATCACTGCACTCCTTGTACCACCATCTTGTTTGTAACAACAAATGGGCATTTCTTTTCTAACAGAACATACCTTGCCAATAAAAACTTCCAGGTCCTCCCACAATAAGGTCTCCATTCTATAAAACAGAAATAGCAACAACAATTGGAAAAAAGAAAAACAGTTTTCTTAAAAGGGTATAAATCATTGTTAATAAGTTTTATTTGAACAATTAGTTTTACATAAAATTAGTTGTACAGAAAAATGAAGTTTTTGAGAAAGGCTCTTATATCTGAGTCATACAGGTCTTTTTTTTCCTCTTTGCTTTCAATTATTTAGTGTACAATATTGAAAAATTTTAATGTGACTTAATTTTCTCCCCTGAGAATATATAAATTTGGGTTTTTGGCACCTTGTCAGGTAAGCAAAATAGCTATATGTTTAATGCTGTACAATTTAGCAGACATGGTTTTTCAAGCCTTGACAATAAAAAGAAATTTCAGTTCCTGTTAATCTCAAGGCCACAATAATGCCTATTTTTTCCATATATCTGCAAACCCATCCCCTTCCCATAGGAGCAAAAACTCCAGACTAACAATTGCAAACTTTCTCTTCTATTTACAACCCTGGTTTACATACCCTGCATCCTTCACTATCAGTGGGAAAACAAAGACAATGATAAAAAGTAAAACTTAGCATGTTTTTAACTTTATGAAAGGATATGCGAATTTTAATATTATATAAATTTTAACTAGTCAATTATCATTAAGCAATAAAACTTTATAGATTCTTGTGATCTTTTCAGAAGTACATTTCTTTAATGTGTTTTTGAGATGTTTAAGTTAAAAATGATTATTATCACAAAGGGACAAAGGGTGGGAAGAAAGATTTGATTTTCATCATATACATTTCTGTACAGATTAATAAAGACCAAACAAAAGAAATTTATGAAGATGTCAAATCTAGAGGTTAGCTATATACCTAGAGCTTCCTTTGTTGGTGGGGGAGTGGAGGTGGTGAGAATCTGAGGGTAAGAAGAAAATGAGACACATAAAATAAATATTAGCAGCTATAAGACCAAAAGAATTCACCTTATAAAAATCCAGACTAAATCCTGCTTGGCAATAACCCTGGCCTTCAGGATCAGCATTGCCTAGAATGATCAAAATATATCAATGTTACATTATTTCCAAGCTATATTTTATTTTATTTTTAAAAAGATTTATTTATGCATAAAAGAACTGGGGTACAGGCCAGAGGCGTGGGAGGTGAGAGAATCCACCAAAGACAGAGTGGGGAACAGAACAGGCAGACTGACTGGAATACACTACTGAGGGGAGCAGTAGGCGAGTCAGGAGAGGTCTGCTGCACCATGTGGGTAGCTCCCTGACTGGGGATGGAACTCACGCTGCAGTGGCTGCAGATTGTTTCATAGGTTGCATCTTAACCCCTTGTGCCACCAGGGACACCCCCAAGCTATATTTTATAACCAATTCAGGATACCCTGTTGTTTTCTCTATAGACCTCTAGATTTATAATGATTGATATGTTTAAAAATTTAAAAAATTATCCCAAGTAATTTATTAAGCCTCTTCCTATCATTTCCTATCTTTGTAATAATCCTAAAGTAAGGCTGGAATTATGATACTGGATTTTACAACCCATGTTTGTTGAAGAAATAAAATCTCCATCTCTCAAGTATATTCCATATTCTCCATGTGGCAGTAAGGTGTTTTGTGTTGACAGGGTAATCTGAGTAGAGGCAGATTCCTAAAAGCAATGTTTTCAGAAAGGGGACACCCAGATCTCTTTAATGATCTCTAATAGGTAATCCATTTTTAATTCTTCTATTACCATTAGTTGGTAAACTTGGAAATTGCATTTGCAAGCACAGTGAATCTCATAGAAACATTGCAATGGCAGCATTCACAAAAGAGAAAATATGTCTTACTTCGTACTCTCTCCAGTATAATTTACTAACTGAAAGTCCAGTAGGACCTTTCACACAGGCTAACACATGGATTCCCAGGATACTGTTCTATGAAGTCTCTAGGACATTAGGATCAGAAATTTATTACTTGTCACTTGTACTTGAAAAGTTTCTACAGCTTCTAAAGTGCTTAGATTCAACCCAAAATGTAGCTGAATATGGGGAATCTCAGTTGTTTTATAGTTAGGTGTGGACAAGCGAATAATGACTCCTTTCTTATTAAGGAAATTCCTGAATGGAAACTGAAGTGCAGGCAGGACAGGAAATGCATATCATCACTGGAAGGATTCACAAGCAGGAAGCTTGTGAAATGAATCTGGCCTTTCTAGCATTTCCCAGAATCTTTTGCATTTTCTTTCTTTTGGCTTGTATCTAGCTAATTTTAGCATTGCCATCATCCATTTTTCCAGAATCTCCCCTTATTTTTTAAAATACTATATTTTAAACTACTTTATTTTTTAAAATACTACATTTTTCCATTTCTTAATATATTTAAGAAATGTATTTTTTAAAATGTACAACCTTTTAAAAAACCAACTCTGATTTTATTTTTAATATCATAAATTATTCAAAAGGAAGAAATATCAGCATTCTTTGAAATCATTGTATTTCAAAACAGGAAACAAAAAAAATTAAGAAAAAAATTTTTTTTCATAAAAATCATTGAGAAAATAACCAACTTGAAATGTTTATTTTAAATGTGATTATAGTAGAATGTGAGCTTCTTTCCTTTGCTAAGTAACTATTTCTATCAGAGTTATAGTTTATGAGAGTTGAAGGAAGCACTCTTCCCAGAAGTACAGAGCATCTGTAAACTTTACAATTATGTCTCAGAGAGATCTCATGAATCTCGGGAATCATACTGATCATTCACTACTATTTGTTGGCTCCAAAGCAAAATGGAAAGATGTGTGTAAACCATCACCACCTGAATTATGAATGACCAACGGAGCTATAGGCATTCATTCATATGAATGAGCAGATTAGCTCCCATGTTGCTCTGAATATCAATGCTGGGTCTGTGCTGTGGAAATAACATGAGAGGCTTCTTTAATTCTCTTTTGAAAATAATATTGCTGATGTTCCTGTTCTGTGATATTGACCATATGCTCATGAACAAGCTGGCTTTGTGTTAATGAACTGTGAACTCCTTAGGGAAGGCAGGAAGTCTGCTTCTTGGATGGATTTGAGGAGGATGAAGTATTCATAGTAGGAGAGAGAGCATGAGGATGTGAGACTATGGATGTGTCCTAGGGTTGAAAGAATTCTTGGCAACTTCCTTAGCTATTCTGCAACTCAAATTCCACTCTAACTTTGCTGAGCTTTTCTTTTATTTAGGAAAATAAACAGTACATAAATTGGCATTAATGTGCCCCTGTAACTCAAGATATGAGTGTGCTGTAATTTGTATTTTATGATAATGGTTCAAGATCATGCTGTGACTTTTACCCCACAAGTCCAGACCCCAAGCGCTGTTTTAATTTTTTTTTAATTTTTTTCTTTTTTAAATTTTTTATGTCATTGTTCATTTTTAAACAATATTTGCTTCCCCACCCCCTCAGGTGTAGTCTCCATAGAGTTTCCTTCAGCAATGCACCCGTGCACCATCACCTCAGTCCCCTGTGCTCCTCCCTCTCTCCCTCTTATCCCTCTCCCTCCTCCTTCCCTGCAGGATGCCTCTGATTTATAGTTGTCTGTTTTGCTTTGTTGTATTTTGTACTGTTTAATTTTTTTACACTGATGTCTTATTTGGTTCCCCTATATTCCTGCTATAAGTGAAACCATCCGATATTTTTCTTTTTCCTTCTAGTTTATTTCGCTGAGCATAATTCCTTCTAGCTCCATCCACATTGCTGCAAATAGCATGAGTTAATCTTTTTTGATTGCTGAGTAATATTCCATTGTGTATATATGCCACATCTTCTTGATCCAGTCATCTATTTTGGGGCATATGGGTTGTTTCCAGATTTTATCTATTGTAAATAGTGCTGCAGTGAACATAGGGGTAAAGGTGTTCTTAAAGTGCTGTTTTTAAATCAGATCTCTCCTATCACCTAGGCAGTCAGGCCAAACACCAAACAAGAAGCAGTGACAAGTTTTATAAATGATCAAACTGAATGTTAGTTGGAAGTATATATCATCAAAGCAAGAGGCATGTGAAAGACGGACGTGTCATTTTAGCTACCATTGTTTCCCATTTTAGCTACCATTGTTTGCTAAAGTATCTTTAGCAAATCATGAGTAATGTAATATAGATAGGACTGATGAAACAAGTTCTGTATTGAATCTCAGCTCTACCATTAATTTCCCAATGGATTTAATGTAGCTCTACCTAACTTTTGACATTAAGATATTATACTGACCTCTCATTGAACTTCCGAAGCAACATGACCCAAGGATATGCCTCTTGTTGGCTGTTGTCCATGCTGGGGAAGCTCCCACCCCAGCCCTCCTCCAAGAGTCATTTGCTAAGAGAAGCCCTTTCCAATGTTCTATCTGACAAGCTCTTTTCCTTCACCCAGGTCATTTCACAACTTTCTTATGCCTATTGTGTTTTTCCCAGTAGCATATTCACTACCTGACATTAATTAGGAACTTACTTATTAAATATTTGTTGTCTATCTCCCCATTAAATTGTAAGGTTTACTTTCTCTTGTTCCATGTTTTATTCCCTAAACATAGATTAATGAGTGCTCTATAAATATGCATGCAACAAACACATAATTGAGCTTCATAATTTATAAGGAATCCCTGTTTTTTTTTTTTTTTATTTTATTTTTTTCTTTATAGAGGCATGCTTTATTTATTTGTTTGCTGGTTTGTTTGTTTTGTTTATACATGCACTGGGTACAGTCAGAAGCGCAGAAGGGTGAGAGAATTCACCAGAGCCAGAGCGGGGAGCAGAACAGGCAGAAGGACCGAAGTACACTGCTGAGGGAAGCAGCGGGCGGCAGGAGAGGTCTGCGCGCCATGTGGGACCCTCCTCTGGTGGCCAGGGAGCAGCCAGGGATCGAACCGGTGCCGCAGCGCGGGCAGCTTCGCAACCCAGCGCTCAACCGCTGCGCCACCGGGGAGGCCCAAGGAATCCCTGTTTTAAAGCAAGTTAAAATAAATTCCTAATATCACAGACTATTGATTCAGCTGTCAGCATATGAGGAAATAGCTGATTTATTTCAGTATTTTTCACAGAAAGTTATAGTCTTCTCCTGACCTAAACCTATCAGAGTTAATTGTTCATCTCCCAGTCCTGTAGATCTCTAAATCTCCGTGACATCCTTGCTAACCCTCTGATATCACTGATTCATTCTTTATCTTCATTGCTTTATTTCTGAGGTTTGCTCATTTTGTCTAAGTTGATATCAAATTTTCAAGATATACACACAAAAAGGAGACATTGTACTTCTGGTTTCGGAAATCTTACTTTGAAAGATTTTTCTAAAAAAGAATTGAGTTGTAAAAAGTCAGTATTATGAAATCAATCGCTAGAATCAACTTTCTAATGCTATTTCTTTCCCATATGTGGTCTTGTGAATGATCAAGGATGAGAAAAAGAATCCATTGGTTGCTTCCTGACAAATCCCAATGATGGATGTGACATGTCGAAACCTGGTAGAGTTCACAAATGACTGATCAATCCCTCACTGATGCCATCCGAGTCCAAGATGAAGTGATCCCATAGCAGTGCCCTAAAGATGGCATTCACAGGTTGGCTTTAAAAGATGCTTTGCTGGACGATTCCTAGATTTTCTAGGTGAGACTTGGATCAGAGCACAGTCTTTTTGAAAGATGGGGATTAAATACAGATAAGGAGAAAAGTGTTAGCATGCAGGTTCCCAAGGACACAGCATGTGGAGGGGGCAGGCTGCACAGAAACTCTCATTGAATGTGACCCCATGTCCGAACATACTAAGACCACATCCTCAAGTAACAAGTAAGGCGGGCAGTCAGCATTCTCTAGACCACAGTGTGAATTCTGAACACCAGCTATGAGTTTAAGGCCAAAAATAAGAAGCTATCTAGACACAGAAATTTTCTAAAGCAAAGAAATTTTCAGCAGAATTAGATGTCTTGGCCCTCATGTCACAGCAAGGCATCCTCCAGTGCTTTCAACCATCTTTCCCCACTTCCTTTTCCTTAGAAGGCTATAGTATGTCAATTTACCTGCACTGTCTACAATAGAAAAGCTCTTGAGCTAAATTTCATTTTCAAGGAATAAAAATAACTTACTGTTCCGACAAGGAGAGTACTCTGCATAAGCACTGAAATTCTGAATTGCCACATAGCAAGTGCCAACTGGATCCTTTTCTGATGTAGCCTTAAGAGTTCTCCAGTGATATAAAGGGGCGCAGGCCTGTGAAACATTAAAGACAATAAATACATATTTTTTGATGTAAACTCTACATATTGCATTTTATTTGTCTTATTAATTAATGTCCCTATATTTGTGACAAAACTATGTTCAATTATTAGTCAATTAAGTGGCCTCTGATGTGCTAATAATTACCTTGGTCGTCAGAGTCGATGAAACTTCCAAAGCCAATTTTTTAACTTCAGTACATGGTAGAATTGGAGTAAATTAAACATAGCCAAAGAAATAATTCTCCCTCTCCCACAGACAGACTTTTCAAATAAAGTAACCTGGCAAAAGTAAATATTTCCTAGAAGCAAAGAATTCATATTTTCTTTTTAAACAACTGAACCTACATAAAAGCAAGTAATTGTTGAAGCAGACAGTGACTCAATGTGATATCTTAAAAAAGAATTGGCTCTTCTCTTTGTCGCTTTAAAGGAACTACTTTCAAATTGAAGCACATAGAAAATTTTGTAACCTCTGTTCTTGTACGCCTGTTTATCACTGAAGTTGTATCTTAGGACACTTAGACAGTGACCTTCAAGTGGACATGCTGCCGCTCATTGTGGCGTGCTTGGTTGCACTTACTGTTCTGTGCGGGTGGCAGAACTGAAGGGGAAAGTCAGCATCTGATGCTTGTTTTAGTGATTTTTGTAAGAGAGGGTCAGAAAGTCATGAAAATGACCCACATGCATTTCCAAGGTATTGAACTCTGATTGTCAGGTAACTCAAGACTCTTTCTCCTATGGAGAAATTTACTGAAACTCCAAGGAACTCACACAAATTGTTTGAAAGAAGTGAATGATCCTTCTCCATTTTACAAAGGTAAAATGCCAAAGGGTTAGGAATGAACTGTTTCATGCTTATTTCCAAATAACATATAGGGTGGTAAATTAAATAAAGCTGCATAATGCACAGTCTCATGCCATACCCTGGAGTCTCTTTAAAAATGTGCTTAAGTGCCTGCAACACTTAACATAGAGTTCAATGAATGTGTATTGAATTAAATGATTGTCTACTGGGTGAACTTTAACATAGAACACTACTATAGCAAACTATTATGAATTATTGCTTTTATGAGATACACTTTGTCATATCAGAAATTATATGTTGTCTCACCCACACATCTACTTTTAGGGATATTCCTCTGGAGGAAGTAAGACATGCTTCATGGTACCTTCTGATATAATTTCTGGGAATGAATTAATGTCAAAAGAGAGACCTGGTTCTAAATTAGTTTGCCAACCACCAGAAATTTTACCAGCAAAAATTAATTTTAGCATCAGTAAGAGATATGGAATGTGAGTGAGAAACACTCTGGTTGCTTTTTTAGCAACTTAGATTCTAACAAAAACATATTTGATAGAGTGGATAGGAAAGCCTCTTTAAGTAAATTAATACTAATTTTACTAGAATGGGAGAGACAAATATGTAGAAAATACTGGTATTTTAAAAATGGACTCATCTTTTTTATTAGTTGGGAGTATATTTTTATTTTAAGAAATTGGTTATTTTGATATAACTTCAGAAAAGTTACCAGAATAATATAAAAAGCTCCTGTATGCTGCTCACCTAGATTCATTAATTGTTTACAGGGTTCACGTGTGCCCCCTCATGTTCCTTTCCTCTGTGTATTTTAGACACCTGCATGTGTTTTAAGAACCCCTGGGGAGCAGGCTGCATACACATCCCTTAACACCTCAGAGTATACTTCAAAGAGGAAGAGATTTCACTTACACATTCATAGCACAAAGATCACAACCAAGAAATTATATTGAGTCAATGTAATTTTTATCTAATCCAAAGGACCCTATTCAAATTTCTCTAATTGTCTCTATTTATGGTCTTTTTTTTTTTTTATGACTGAAGTGGTGCCAATTATGATCACTCACTGCATTTAGTTAGCTTCATGTTTCTTTTATCTTTAATGTAGAATCTTCTTGTTTCTAATCTTTGTCGTTCTTGTCTAAGTCTTTCTTAGTGTCTTTGTCTTTCCTAACAATGTCAGTTTTGAAGATGTCAGGCTAGGATTTTATAGGATGCCCTCCGATTTTACTGTTATTTTCCTTGTGATTGAACTCAGTTTGTATATTTTGTTTTGTTTTTTTAAAGATTTGTTTATTTATTTATACAAGCACTGGGTACAGTCAGAAGCGCAGGAGGGTGAGAATTCACCAGAGCCAGAGCAGGGAGCAGAACAGAGAGAAGGACCGAAGTACACTGCTGAGGGGAACAGCAGGTGCAGCAGGAGAGGTCTGCGCACCATGTGGGACCCTGGCCGGCAGCCGGGGATCGAACCAGCGCTGCAGAGGCTGCGGGCAGCTTCACAGCCCAGCGCTCAGCCGCTGTGCCACCGGGGAGGCCCTCAGTTTGTATGTTTTTGACACAAATACCTCTAAAGCAATCCTAATCCTATTCTGTACCTTACATCAGAAGGCAAAGATATCATTGGATTCATTACAGGTGCTACATAGGCACCTTCTTGACTTCTGTTTTGATAGCTCAATCTTCCATAAGTATGTTTCAGCTGATTCTTTAAGCACTCATTTCTAAGGACACAAAATTACAGAATCCTAGAAAATGAAACCACTGGTATATATTTTTATTTGATGGCATCACACTTAAACCAATGCCAGAGCAGTGAAGACAGATCCAGATTTTAATGTCTTATCATAATTTCAAGTGTGTTTTTGGTAATCACCTCCATATGCAACTACTTCCAGTAAAGATAACTCATATTCTCAAGTTAAATCACCTTCAACAATTTGAGCTTCTCGGTTTTACCTCTCTCTATACTGTAGGATCGTGGCCAGTAACTAAACTCACTCTAACTCCCTGAATTTCCCTTGTCTTAAAGCCCTCTTAGTGAACTGACAATTTATGGGATTAATGCATTCATTGTGATATGTGAATGGTGGAAAGTAGGAGGAGTTAGGGAGGTGAACACATTTACCTGTATGACTTAACATGCCAATTGGCTTGACCTTCTGTCTCGCCATAGATCAATTAAGTGCACAAAAATTCTTTCCAGTGGTTACCTACTGTCAACTCTAAAAAGTTATCCTCTTAACATCTGCTAGTTTCATAATGATGTGATTTCGGGGAGCTTGGGTCCAAACTGAATATATATACACTGGATATTCAAAATGATATTTCTGTTTGCATCACTCTGTAGTTATAAGAATTATGTCAGATAAGACAGTATTTAGCTCTTTCTTCTACTACGTTTCAGTGCTCAAAGAAAGTATAGTTTATATTATCCCATTTCATATCACGTAATTTTGAAAATATAAGCATGCCTCCAAAGTAAATATTTTTATTATGAAACTACTATATTATTTTATTTTCAATAGTTTTAAGGGTTTCTGCAAATATGAACTAAATCCACAATAATTATGTCACAGATAAATGTTCAAGTTAAAAAATTAATATAATATCAAAAAGATTTTTTTTAACACAAGTTATTAGGTGGGATTAGCTTTTCAATAGAAATTCACATAATTCATACACCACTACAAGATAAAAAAAAGTTTTAACCCAATCCTGAAATGTGGAACTATATTAATGCAATATAATTCTACAGAGAGTATATTGTAAATGTTGGATTTATAACTAGAGAGCCTATCTATACTTTATAGATCACCTGTTTTATGTCAAAATCTCTTTGGGGGAGTTTGCCACAGACCAAATAAAGCTAGGTATTTCCTCTAGATACTTATTCTTATTAAATCATAATTCAAATAGCTTTAAACAAATCCTAAAAGCCAAAGCTATTTCTTTATTGTTGTAAGGAAATTAAAGGCAACAGTTTAAAAAATTCCCCCAACAAAATAAATTTCCAGATGAGCTAGCACAGTCATTTATTTCTCAATAACTTAAACTCATATCATTGCTCAGAACAAGAGAAGAGAATGATAAAGTCATAATACTTTAAAGTTCTATTGATATTTGGGAGTAAGTTTTTTTCCACTTTAAAAAGCTTTAATGTTTTCAGAGAACCATGAAATTAATAAATACATATATTTTAAAAGAAAATTTTTCCTTTAGTTTTAAAAAGGATAAATGATACCACAACAGAGTAACATTTTAAGTTTACTAACAGTAATAGTGCCATTTTTTTTCAGGTCAAATTTTAATTAGTGCTTTAAGTCGATACTAAGCAAGAAAATGTTCACCTACTTAATGTGTAGATTTTAGTTTTCTCTCTTCTTTAGTTGTTTTTGAAATATTTGAAAATAGCTAACTGATCCAGAAATAGGTCATTTCCCTATAACTTTCAACATCAAATAGATGCTTTCAATTTATCACTGAGTTTTGTTTTTTTTTTAGGATGCTGTTAAGATTTTCTTTGAATGTCTGACATGTTCTTTCATGGAAAGGTTTTTAGTAAATGTGAGTTTTGAAACACTTCAGAGTACACATTATTCCCGAGCACACAATTCCTACTCACCACGACTTTCCCCTTGTGAGCTTTCACCGTTGCTCCAAACCACTGATTTGATTTAAATTCTATAGGTTCCTTGGTTCCATTAACTCTGATTTTTCGGTTGTCTGATAGGAGGAAATGAATTGTTAGTAATTTGTAAAACGTGGCAGTCAATTAAAATATGTACTAATGAATGCGCCCATTAAAAAGACTTGAAAACCAATTTTGACACATAGGGAAATTTCTCTCTGCTTCAGTCTAAGCTAGATCGAGTTCGAATTTTCATTTAGAAAAATGCCAATTAAGTGAAAATATGTATTTTAGCATGATATTTCACAGCTTAACTTAAAAGAAGCAAATTTTATATTTTACATTTTCAGAGCCAACTGTACTATAAATTTGATGTGGATTCTGATCATCTCAAAACCATACTTTTGTCATTGATCTGTAGCAGATTGAAGACCAATCATTTGCAACTGTCTAAAGAATTCTGAATGTTTTCTAGAAGAGAAACCCAAGGAAATCTCCCTGGTCAGGGAAGAACAACTTTCTCAGCATGGGTTACAGGAAACATCATGAAGGACTCTACGGCCTTGGTTTTAACTGAGTAACATGTGTCCACGCAGCCATAGAAAATAACACCTCAACACAGTTTTATATACACTTTGCAGATGTCAGTATGAGGGGGGCCATCTGGGTTGAAACTCAACCCAATTATAACACACTTTAGGTCTTAATAAAAAGCAGATTTTTTTTTCTTCACTCTGGATTCCCAGTCAACATATTTCCCACGTGGTTCTAACCACATGGTTCTAACTGGAGCTTCATCAGTAATAGTCAATGAATTTTGAAAGACATTTGTACTAGGGCATCTTATTTGTATGTTTCCTTTGGTATGCATTTTATTTTTCCTCCTTGACTCTGTAATAGATGCATTACAAAATGACCTTATAAATCCTATTAAGTGTGGCCAAAATATACATGTAATTAACTTTAAATTGAGTTTGCATATGATTACAGACTTTTTTTAAAAAAGGATAAATTATGTATATTCAATCTTAACTTAAAATTTACATTTTGACATATTAGTAAAAAAAATAATAAGTTTCCTTCTTAAAACTCTTATGCTTTTGCAAAATAAGTCAGAAGGAGAAAGACAAATACTGGATGGTTTCACTTAAATATGGAATATAGAGACTCAGAACAAATGGTCAGAAACCCAAATCAATAGCAAATCCTAAAAATCTGACTGTAGAATTGAGGCTACCAGAAGGGAAGAGGGAAGAAAGCAGGGTATGGAGGGGGCACAATGGACTGTGGTGGAGACTCTGGGGGCCTTGTGGGTGTGGTGTGGTAACATACACCTAAAATGTGTGATCTTATACCTCTGAATCATATGCAGTGTTGTAAATCAATGTTACCTCAATAATAATAATAAAAAACACTTTTGATGTTTCTGCACTTAAAAAGAAAAAAAAGTTCTGTAAACCCCTATCCAAAGACACAGAGCTTGCAAAAAATTAGTGTATTACAAATTACAGCTTAAAATTGAAAATATTAACATTTCTATTTGCACTTTGGAAGATTGTAGAACTTACAGACAAAGGATCTTAGTGCCATTAGTAGGTGATTTTGGGCAATTCATTTACTCTTTAGAAGTTTTGATTTCTTCTGTAAAATGAAGCTGATAACACTTCAGCTCATAAAGATCACCTTAGACAAATAAATGGGAAAGTGGTTTTGAAGCTAAGTTGCATACTACAGAAATCTCACAGCAGTCCCACTGAAAGTCTATAACTCTAAAAAGAATCTCTGAATTAGAAATCTGGGAATTCAACCTAAGTCCAAGAATTGGGAAGGACCTCACAGACACATACGGATTACATGTTATTATTAGTGATTTGTGGCACTCAGCAATAAAATTAGTGACACCTCACAAGATCGTCAATGTGGCTTTGATTAAGTAAAGGGAGAAAGTTCTATAGTGGCTTTGAAATTTCTAAACCACTAAAGAGCCATAAAAGAAGATCAGAACCTCAGAAAGTCAAATATACTTAAAGGAGATCCCAAAAGTACTTGAGAAAAGCAGGCTGCAGCGAGGAAGGAAATGGATTATGGGAAAGACAGAAGCTGGTAACCAACTTGGCTTGGCTTTGCTGGGGAAAATTATGTTAGTTTACTTTTATGATTTCCAAGGCATCTTTTCTGGTATTATAAAGTTAAAAGTGTTTAATTGATTAAAAATGTAAGCTGTGGGTCATTATCTAGTAACACATTTCTTGCAGTCCAAGAATACAAGTGAATGAACTTCACTAATTCCATACCCAATCCCAGGATTACAATAGAGAAGAATTCCACTATCCCAGGTCTCTTTTTACTGAGTTTGATCCAGGTGTGTCATCTTTTCATTGATCTTTGAGGTAGCCAAATAACCTTTTTGATATTCTGCTTTATTACTTTTATAAGTTCTCTGGCTTGAAATCTAATATTGTGATTTCATAAAATTCCAAATGAGTTATTATTTTTCCATTGATTGTGAAAGTGATTTTTCTCAATTTCCCCCCTTCTTTTTCGAAACAAGGGTTTTTCATGCCAAATAACCCAATGCAGAAAATAGTACTATCTTCCTCACACTTGTGCTCAATATACTTTTGATGCCTGGAGAACATTTTTGATTTGATTTGATCTGATCTTGAATCAACTTTCAGGTAATATCTATAATGATCAACACAATTTCTGCTAAATTCCTCTAAATTCTCCTGTGTATGGCAAAGGTCTAGAAATCTGAATATGCATTTCCCAAGCCCTTTTACAAGCAGGATTTTGGCCAAAGAGGCTCTTGAGAGATTTGGAAAGAAGATGGTGAGGCCACATTTTTTGTGGTAGCTACCAGCGTGCATGTAGGCACTGGTGGTGACAGATGTGGTATCCTTCCTGCATCTCTCTCATATCATCTGACTGTCACACCTTTGGGGCTTTGGGCAGCTGAGAGCAAGTTTTGAACTTCCAGATTTCTTGATCTGCAGGCAGTGACTTTCCTGATCTTTGCACGCCTAGTATTTCCAATGGCCATGTAAACCTCTTGCTGTTGTATGAAATTCTTCCTAGCTGTAATACTCAAAGTGGATTCAGTTTTCCTGATCAAGCTGCCAGTAATGCACTGATGACATGAAGCAATGCATCTAGTGTGGGACCACATGCCCTTCTAGAGCAAAAGGGAGGTACTGGTTACCCCCCAAATATGTCATTAAACCAAAAAACTCTTGAAAGGGCCAGGGGTTCTGGGAGATGGTGAGATCACTAGTTACCGAAGCAAGTCTCTCCCAGGCATATAAGAAACAATAGGGAGGCAAAGCCATAAGTTAAGAAAAGGTTTAATAGCAACAGTGTGTGATTTAAAGTTTTCTAAATGACTGAAATCTATCAGACTATTAACAAAGCTAATAAATAAATGAAAATCTAAGTGAAAATTTTTTTCAAGAAAAGGTTCAGTATATTTAGTATATAAAAGAGCTCCAAGATCAATTTTTTTGAAGACTAAAATGCAATAGAAAAAATCCAAAGGACCTAAACAGGTTTTTTGGAAAGAAGAAATCAAATAGCTTGTTCATGGAGAACTCCTGAGCCTCAAATTAATAATGACTTAACACTTGCCACCTGCTAGCTTGGCCAAAAATTACAATATTCACTCTGTTTTGAGGATAACTCAATATAGCGTTCTGGAAAAGTCATTTGGCAACATATATCAACATTTTAAATGTACATATTTTTGACTAAGAAATTCTAGGATTTTGTCCAATGAAAATAGTTGCACAAATGCTTTAAGTTATAATATGAAGATATCTACTGTACCATTTGTGATAGCAAAGCCCAGAAGTTTAACTATTCATAAATGAGGATTCAAAAAGAAATTTCTGTTATCTATAAAGTAGACTACTATTCAACTGTTAAAAATTTACAATAAATTTGTAAGTATTGATAAATAATGTCTACAAAATATTTTTTTTTATTTTCTGAGGCTTTAAAAAAATACCAAAAAGTATGTTTAAGGGCTTCATATAATACTTGTCTTCCCACCAAATAGAACTGATAATTGCTACATTTTTTTTACATTAGCATTCCTGTGCCCAGTTCCATTAACCCTCCACTCTTCCTCCAGAGCTAACCACCATTTGCTAGAGGAGGAAATATTAAAAAATGAAAGAATTCTCTCTCCAAAGGGAAAGGATGAGCCATTCTTAGCTGATTAGATTAAAAACAGAGCAAAACACTCTGCACCGTTAGTATAACACACAAATCTGAAGGATAGAGCAGGTTAAAGGGGGATCATGTAGAGTGAGATATCAACTCTAAGCTCATCTGCTACAACTCACTTTACCTCATCTACACTGGCTGGAATAGTGTTCTCTCTCATCTCTCCCACTCCTGAGAAAGACACTCACGTGCCTCGTAACTGGTCTCTCTTCCTCCAGGTTTATCATCTTCATTCTCTACCCTGAAACCAGAATTCTTTCTAAAATGTAAAGATTCTTAAACGTCTTCTGCCACTCTTAATTTGCCAGTATCATTTCATCGTTCCCAAGCATAGTGATTTTTAATTCATACTTCCTCTCTTCTCTAGATTTCATGACACTTGGAATAATCACCTGGGATTAAGTAGTTTGGTCAGAGATACAGTTGGGGAAATGAGAGCTCTCAATATGGCTTATGTATCACCTTCTGACTGTCAGGCGATAAGCTGGCTTCTGTTTAGAGCCCAATAATTTGTTAGAAGAAGTAATGAAAACCTCTCAGCATGGAAATCTCAGGAAGCAAACTAAGAGACATAAATCTCTTCAATATGACCTCAAAGCAGTTCTTTTAAATACAGGATATGATTGGGTTTCAGGATGAAGATTATATAAACTTGTCTCCTAATGGCTGTTGAAAATGTATTTCTACTGCTCCTGATATATGGTTGTATTTTCCTCAGGATCTCATCCCTGATCCTAGAAGATGTGGTAAAAAGGATCCCAACTGTCATCTAACACAATGGTTCATTTGTTGTTACAAAAGAAGAAAAAGAATCACTGCTCCCAGTGTTACACAAAATAGGCACTTCAGAATTAAACCTTCTGCCTCTGCA